GCAAATGTACATTTTCCCAATTCGAAATCCATTTAACGCCTAAATAAGTTTAACAAAGCATTATCATAAGTTGCAACTAACACTATCTGTGCCCCATAAAACTAACACATACCAAAACATTGCTTTGAACATTTTACTCATTTTAAGTACCATAAGATTTATAATCACATTTTTAGCAGAAATCTATTTTGCCTATCTTCCTTTAAATATTTTTGTCTACTGTTGGTTATGAGGTTTTCTCCATAAGATTCAGCATCAAGGGTCAAGCAAAGTTAGGGGTGTCGTTAATGTGTGTTGTGGCAGGTACGACCAGTTGTTCAGTTCAAAAGTATATTTTCCCTATTTTAGGAAGTAGCTCAATGACCATAATAAAATTAAGGGGCTGCAATGCCCTAAGTGGCCATTCAATTGTCCCCTAGGAGTATGTTTCAGTGCCAGCAATGAGTACTCTCACTGTATGTCTGTGCAATAGTTTTGACGAGTGTCAGATGTGCACCTAAGAACTATGACCATGAATTTGAGGCTGAACGCCCCATACCCTGTATGAGGGGGGAGGGGCCTACCGCAGCCACACCACTATGACAAAATTGACTGAAGGCTTTTGATTCTGAACAGGACTCTGCTTCCTCCCTTTGCCTAAGGAACACTTTGAGGCCTTGCATTATCTTAAGTATACCCTTGCAGTCAAAAACCTTCCACCACATATAACGACCCTGCTTTGCTACTTCTACTCGGACTGTATTGTACAGGAAATAGGGACAGTTTCTTTTCAGTAACTTTGTACACTATTTTTTTAAAGAAAACAACAAAAAAAGAGCAAGCATTGTAAGTATACTATGACTAAAAGTTATTGGCTACAGTAGCACACAGTTCTTGAATAAAGATCTTCAAAGACTTAGCAAGTTTCTCAGGTGTGACTTATTTCCAGGCAAATGGTATAAGTTGAAGAAGACACAATCAAAAGGCTGGCAGTGCAGTCAGAAACTTGACAATGCTGTTATATCACAGCTGAACAATGCCAAGTGCAACAGGAACCTTTTATAAGCACGAGCGAGCACCAGCCAGCCTGGCAAGCAGGGAAAATTGGTAACCTACACTTTGACAGGTATAATGACCTCTTTTATTCAAATATTGTGAAAACCTGAAGTGTCTCTCTATAAACTCTTGCCAATTTAACTGTGCCTTCACAAACTGTTATATAATTGTTATCCCAACCTGTTCCTTTACATGCATGATTAGTTACCTGGTTTGAGAACAAAGACTTGTGGGCTGAGTTCTGCAATGGACATAAGCTTTGGATGGAAGCACATGTAAGGGGTTTTTTTTAATGTCCCCCACTGCCCCTTTTCCTGGGGTTTTGGTTCTTGTTTTCTGACAGCAGGCACTACTATCAAATTGTAGTAACAGAACACAAACACAGAGCAGAGAGCATGCTCCTGAAAACAATGCTTAGCCTTAATTCATTATTTATGGTAAGCTAGGACAAGCTGCCTTGGCCTAAGTAGCCCAGGCTTGTCCAATCTCATCAGCTCTTGGAAGCTAAGCAGAGTTGGCTTTGGTCAGTATTTGGATGGGAGACCGCCAAAGAGTACCAGGGTTGTACTGTGGAGGCAGGCAATGGCAACCCACCTCTGAACATCTTGCCTTGAAAATCCTGAGGGGTTGCCTTAAGTCAGCTGTGACTTGACAGCAAAAATCTCTCCCTTATTATAAAAGAGTAGTGGGTGCCAACATTCTAAAATGCACACCTTTAGTGTATGGACGCTTGAACTGTCAGTCAGAAGACGCTGGTTGGGTTGACTGGCTGCTTTGTGCAGTCCCGCTCAGCGTTTCAAGGTCTTTTGCATATGGAAGAAGATTGGACTTCACTCCATTCCACACCTCAAACTCCCCCCCCCCACCCGCAAGGCAGTTGGAATGTCAGTTTCATATGGAACCTGCTGTATTCTGGTGGTGTGCAGGTCCCAGGTTCATATTTTAAAAGCTGCCTGGGGGATTATGGACCATTCACACACTTTCAACCTTAACATACCTCATAGGGTAGTTGTGCGGATCATACGGGGGAGAGGAGAATGATGTCAGCTGCTTTGGTTCCCACTGCAGGGAAAGACTGCCCTTTCCCTAGGCAGAGGCTGGGGGGGGATGTAAACCTGAAGACAGACAGGCAGATAAAGGTAGGCTGATGGTTGCCTGGAAAGGACATAGGGTTGCCAACTCCAGGTTGGAAACTTCCAGGATATTTTAGGGATGAAGCCTGCTGTGGGTGGGGTCTGAGGAGGAGGAGGAAGAGGGGGACCTCAGACAGATACAATGCCATACTCCCCACCCTCCAAACAAGCTGTTGCCAGTCTCCAGGTGACAGCTGGAGAGCACTTAAAGCTCTGGTGCTAATTCAAACTGTTACCATGTATCGACAGAGTAGTGTGTTGGAAAATCTTTAGGAATTGTTTGGTGCATTGCCAGCTTTAGGTATGGAAATTCCTGGAGATTTGAGGGGTGGAGCCTGGGTAACAATTGTTGCCACTGTCCAGGTGAGGGCTAGAGATCACTCAAAATTACAACTGCTCTTCAGGTAGCACAGATCAGTCCCTCTGGAGAAAACAGTGGACTCTGTCATTATACCCTGCTGAGGTCGCCACAGCAAACTGACACTGTTTGCTCAAAGCCAGAGCACTCTCCCAGAGCCTCTTTCTAGCTCCCGTTGTATTTATTTCCACAACGGGCCTTATTTCTAGTTAATGATAAAGGACAAGCTATTGTAGCTTTTCTGGGGCTAAACTGCACTTCTGTCTTTACTCCAGGTGTTTCCAATCTTTTTGCACCTGTGGGCACCTTTGTAATTCTGACATAAGGGAATAGGGACAATCACAAAATGGCTGCTACAGGATGTGGAACCAACCACAAAATACTAGAGAGTTTGGTTATGCATAAATCTAATAGTAATGCATACTCATTTTAGGCAGAAGTTCTGCTTAACATGACACCTTTTTAAATGAACATATGGTCTAAAAATATTTTCTTACTTATTCACAGCTTCAGCCACACAGAAGATCCTTTTGCTGTGGTGTCAGCTGCTGCTGAAGATATTTTTGGTTTTGAATGTGCACAGCCAACCAGATCTCCAATGTCCAATTAGAAGCCCTGCTGGAGAAAAGCCCAACTTGGCCCTGCTTATAAAAAACACTTGGCAAAGTGTTGGTGGGCACCACAGATATTTATGATTGCCAACTTCATGTTGGGAAGTTCCTGAAGGTTTGGAGGTGCAGCCTGGAGAAGGAGGGGTTTGCAAAGGGGAAGAACCTCAGCAGGGATGTTAAGCCATAGAGTTCACCCTCCAAAGCAGCCATTTTCTCCTGGGGAACTGATCTCTGTCTTAAGAACATAAGACAAGCCATGTTGGATCAGGCCAGTGGCCCATCCAGTCCAACACTCTCCGTCACGCAGTGGCCAAAACCCAGGTAGCATCAGGAGGTCCACCAGCGGGGCCAAACCTCCAGAAGCCCTCCCACTGTTGCCCCCCAAGCACCAATAATACTTCAATTAAATTAGCCAGTGCCTCCCAAGGAATTTAAAAGCCCCCCCCCAACAAAAAATCCTGGCTATGGGTCTGAGTATCTGGTTGCTCAGGGCAAGATCCGGGGCTCAAGGAGGAGAACCGCAGCCCAGCTTCTGTAGATTGGTTGTAATTCTGAGAGATTTCCAGGCCTCACCTGGAGGTTGGCAACTCTATGGGGATCCCACTTCACACAGTAAAGCAACCCTGGAGTAAAACCAGATAAATCATGTAGAAAGACCACCTTTTGCCACCCAGCCTCTGTGGGGCAGCACACTGGGAGGCCTCCAAAGACCAAACTCCTTTGTACTCCTCTCCCTCCCTCCAAAACGTGCCTGGTGGTAGCAGCAAAACACACACACAGAAACACTACTACTGCAGCATAATAAAGGACCTTGCAGCAGCCCTTCTTACCAATGTCAGGTGGGTTTCTGGGGCTCTAGGCATGAGCTAGTATAAATTCAGCGTGAACTTCTGTGAGGTTTGGGCTTAATTCATAATGAGCCAGAAACTTCAGATGCTGAACTCAATTCTAAATTTCAACCAAATCACTTCAGATCAATATCTTAATAGCACTGGTGGCCACCTTTAAAGATCTTAGTAGGTTTGTAGAAATATCTTCCCAGTTCCCATACAATACATGAGTATTTGCCAAGGCGACTCGGTCTTGTCACAGAAGTAGGCACAGGTAAAAAGGAGAAACAAGTTTTCTAGAACCTGCTCATTCCCTTATCTTGTATCTAAGCAACAGCCCTTGGTCCCATGTGCCTTCCATAAAAAAAAAAAAATCCCCCCCCTACATTTTGATAGAGCACCCCTTGGCAAATTAATTTTATTTATTTAAAATATTTATAAGCCAACTTTCTCCCTAAAACACCGGAACCAAAGGTGGTTGGCAACAATAAAATCAGCAAAAGCCAATCTCTCTCTCTCTGTATGTGTGTGTGTGTGTAGAGAGAGAGAGAGAGTGAGAGCGAGAGAGAGAGAGAACGAACAGCATAGGGCGTAATAAAACAAAAATGAAGCTATATGATTTTTGTTCCCTCTTGCAGAACTCAATAAAATGGAAATCAGAGCCAAAGACCCTCCATGGCACAGATGTTTATTTTGCCTCTAGTCCAATGAATGCAACTAGAAGTGGATGTTTGCCAGGAATCCCTACTTTACTTTGGGATATTCCTTATTTTATTTTTTTAAAAAAATGTATAATAACCTACTAGTAGTGGAAGCTATATTGGTGGCCAAGTGTCAGAGGGCTGACTTAAAGGGGAACTTGGACATGCAGAGCCAATGAAAATTTCATTGTGTATTTCAGTTTGATTAGGCTGACATAGTCTATAAACCAAAGTATTACTGAAAGGTCGTCAAGTACTTTTCCAGATGGATTACGAAGCTAACCATCATGAAGGTACAGAATATCATGTTTAGCAAGACAAGATACTGCAGTTCATTTGTCTACACTTTCAGATTTACGACGATTCTTCAGCAAAGAATGGAGAAAGGTTCCCAACAACGCACCTCCTAAGACACCACTTCCAATGCCTGCCAGAAACACCAGCAATGCTCTCTGTCGCCAGGAGTAATGCTGCCACTTGAAAAGAGCAATGGTTGTGTTCTGTTGGGTTTTGTTCTCAGCTTCTGGTTTCTGTTCCAGAGTCAAGGATTTTTCAAAGTTGAGATCCACCAAGTTACCAGGGATCACCCGAAGCCCAAAATAGATTCTCTTGACTAGTTTATAGGTTTTCATGAGCTGCACATCACATCTATAGGTCCCTGCATCATATTCTTCAGCTGGAGAAAGCTCAATGACATAGCCGGGAGTCTTGAAAGGCACAAAAAGAGCATCGTCTGTGGTGATGATACCTCTGGCCAGCCTCCAGGTATAGCTGAAGCTCTGAGTCTCAGGGCCAATCTCCTCAGAGGTCAGGCAGCTGAGCTTAAATGGCTTACCAACAAGGACGGTGAAGTGCCTCACTCCACAAAGCCAGTTGGTCAAGCATTCAGTTCGCCGTAGGGTGCAGTATCTTCTTTTACCATCAGATCCAATGTCACATATTTCCTCTACCTTATAGCCCAGGCCACAAGTGACACTACAGCTTGTGGAACTGACTAAAAGCCTAGCTGTAGCTGTCCTCATCTCTTTGGGAATGGTTACTGACTCCATAGAAGCTATTGATAGTGGCACAAAAAAGGCAAACACCAATGTTCCAAGGGTCAAATGTGTTTCTGTGTTCATCGTGTTTGCAGAGTCCTTTTAGAATCCCTTTTCTAGCTTGATTAAATATCCTAACTGCCATTCTGTGTACATATTCTAAAAACTTCTGACATTTATAGCTGATCACTCTTCTTGCACCAGTTTCCTAGATGTGAGAAATCCTCAGAAAGCAAAGATGGCTTCAAGTGATACACTGCTAAAGAAAAGGCAATTTAATGAGCAGGCTACTTAGACTATGTCATTATGTTATGTTATGCTTCATTTGACAATTCTGTGGGAGGCAATATATAAAGGTTTGCACCCTACCAACAAAGATATCCTTGCACAATGGAAATAATGGGTTGGATCCAAAGACGCTTCTTCGCTGGCCTACTGGCACTTTCCACTGGCAGAGGAAGGGGCAATTGTTGCTAATTCCTGCCTCCTACTGAAGACCCCCACTTCAGCCTCCCCAATACTGTTCATGGCTCTGAGGAGCAGAATTTCTAAGGTTCAGTGGGATACAGTGGAAAGAAGGAAGAAACAGGAAATTCCCATCCTGTGGGCTTTACTCTATTTGCAGTACATTGGATCCAATCCAGAATGTTAAAAATTAATGGAATTTATTAATGTAAATTTTGCCTCCCATCCTTTTACATCTACACAGCCCCACATTAAATTATTCAACATGAGCCTTGATTGTTCTCCAATCAGGTAGCAACTGTGACATGGGATAATAAAGGTATAGCCACTAGGAGGGCAGATCACTACTCAAAGTTCTCTACTCAAAGTACTATGGTTGCATTCAGATGTCATGATACACATCTGTAATGAATATCAGCCTAGGCAGCATTAGGGCTGCCAAGCCACGGCGGGGGATCCGTGCATCTTCACAGGCTGTTTGGAGTCCCGTTGCCAGAGCGACAAGTAGCGTCACATCCTGGCGACGGTGGTGCAATGCGTATCGCTGTCCCCCCCGCGGCAGGGATCCTGTGAAGACGCACGGATCCCCCGCCGCGGCTTGGCAGCCCTGGTTGACGTCCTTGTGTTTTCCCTTTATCCTCCCCAGATGTAACTGCAAACTTGGTCTTGGAATTCTTCAAACAATCTCCAATCTGTCATGACATTCAAATGTGGGCACTTGGGCAAATAGGAGTTTGTTTCTTTTCCACAAATTGGGATTCTGTGGTTTAGAAACAAACTTTAATCTGTCAGGGCACCTACATTTGGATATCATGCCAAAATGCTTTCACTCAAGACGTCGAAAAATAGGAGGCTATAACCCCAAATCAAAAGTCTTGAAAAGACTCTAATATAGAACAGCACAAAATCACCATCTTGGTCAGGCTCAAAGAACTTTACTTAATTGTTCAAGGAAATAAAACTAATGTTTTTTCTCTTATTGCCAACACCAACTCATGTACGTATTTATTTAGGAGATTTTTATGTCACCTCACTAGAGTCTTGCTCAAGAAGAAGAGATTGGATTTATACCCCACCTTTCACTCAGAGTCTCAGAGCGGTTTACAATCTCCTTCCCTTCCTCTCCCCACAACAGACACCCTATGAGGTAGGTGGTGGGGCTGAGAGAGCTCTGAGAGAACTTCTCATGAGAAAACAGCTCTGAGAGAACTTTGACTGACCCAAGGTCACACAGCAGCTGCATGTGGAGGAGTGGGGAATCAACTCCGGTTCTCCAGATTAGAGGCCGCCACTCTTAACCACTATACCAAACTGGCTCAAGGCAGAATACAAATAAAATAGTTATAAATTATCAATATAAAAATAAAACAGGCCATTAAAACAAGCCAGGGATATAAAAACAGCATAAAACTATTCATAAAGCAGACAACCAGAAGCAGACCATAAGACAGCTAAAAAGATAAAACCCCTAATTAAAGCCTGAGTCGAAAGATGTATTTTAGCCAGGCACCTGAAAGACAATAAGGCAGGTGCCAGGTGAGCCTCAAGGGGGAGAGTATTCCAGAGGTGCCAGCACCGAAAATGCCTTGTCTCTATCCCTTCCCCCACTTCGGGCACAGACAGCAGGCCTCGAGAGGCAGATCTTAACTGGAGGGCTGGACAGTATGGGAAGAGACAGTCCTTCAGGTGACTCAGCAAACTGGGGGATCCATAGCCCCCCAAGTCTACCAGGTGTGATACCCTGCAGACTGGGAGGTTCATGACTCATTGAGATCATCCTGGAGTAAGGAATCAAGAAGATGAATGGCTCCTATTGGGTAATCAAAGCCTATTCTTATATGGTAGAGAGCCATCAGACAATCAAGTAACTTCCTTCAGTAATCAGTAAAGATAAAATCATGTCCAGGCACAAAATTAGCCTAACTCCCAGGGTAACTCTCAATGAGGCAATCTCTACCCATTCCTCTCATATCACATGACTCAGAAAGCCCATGAATTTCACAGGTAAATAGAGATTCTTTTTTAATCCCAGATTTGTCCACTTTCCACAAGATCTGCCTTCTCTCACCTAGCTGCTGCCCTTGGGGAAGAGCACACTGAAGATTCTATATCAGGCAGTAGAACAAAGTTTGAGTCCAGTAGCACCTTTAAGACTCTAGCTTCGTTCTCACATTTCTTTGCTAACTCTTGCATTTACATGCTAATTTGCTGCCATCCATTGATCTTACCGGCCACCTGATCCAATTTTAGCTCTGCATATGCGCCTTGGCTCTGAGTGGCCCCTCCTTATAGCTGCCCCCACCCTCTTTTTCCCTGTAAGTAACCATTGAGATTTTATTCCAATTTGAAGAAGTGTGCTTTCGACACAAAAGGCTTATACCTTGAATAAAATTTTGTTGGTCTTAAAGGTGCCACTAGACTCTAAATTTGTTCTGCTGCTTCAGACCAACACGGCTACCCCACCTGAATTTTATATCAGACAGTGTATGACTCACCCTACAACACCCCTCCTCTTGTCTACTCACTCACTCACTCTCCCACCCTCTCTCTGCTCTTTTCCAAGAAAACAACCAAAAGTCTCCTTAGCTGACTTCGAGCACTTCTCCAGTTTCTCCACCCCAAAGGGCTAATTCACACATGTGGCAGACATGAGGACTGTCAACAGATGTTCTGCTATAGACTTGGTGTATTGGGATAAGAGGATTATCCCCCCCCCCTCCAACCCCCCATTTTTCTGACCTGAACAATCCCTGGGAATTGTTATTTGCTCCACTGAGAAAACTAGTGTGTAGCCCATCAGTATATTGAAGTTTCCCCAATGGAGAAAATAGCTGCCCTGGGCCATTTCAGGACAGGAAAACAACCGGGGTGGGGGGTGGGAGGTAAATTCTCTCTTTCTCCTCTTTCTTCAACACTGCTTCTAAAGATGCTAGTGTATACATGAAGAAGAACAAGAAGAGTTGGTTTTTATATCCTACTTTCCTCTATCTTAAGGATCCCCAAAGCGGCTTATAATCGCCTTCCTTTACTCTCCCCACAGCAAGCTCTTTGTGAGGTAGGTGGGGCTGAGTTTTGAGAGAACTATGACTGGGTCACCAGGTGGGGAATCAAACCCGTTCTCCAGATTAGAGTCTGCCACTCTTTACTACATCATGCTGCCTCTCCTCCCTAGTCAATAAAAACTACAGAGGACAGCCTGCCAATATACTTCCAAGACCCTACAACTCGGGGTTCAATTGTGCTGTGCTTGAGAAGGGAGAAATGCTTGCAAAGATGTCAACAAACCTGCTTCACAATGTTACGAAGGGTTTTTGTGATGCCTGAATGCAGCCTATGCCTTAACACAAGAATTATCAATCAACATAAAGCTTGGTTTGAGTATGTATATAAAAAACCTCCAGTAGTTCTGCCACAACAGCATTGTTCCAATTAGAACAGTTTATGGCAGCAGATACATGTAAATGGAAGTTCAGAAGGGTTAGGAGCATAACTATTTCAGTTCCTAGACAAAATTTAAGAAGTTGCCTCTTCCTCTTCTGAAAACATGTCTTATTTTTTAAAAATAATTTAATTCCCAAGTATATTTGATCCAATTCTATTAATTCCAGTTTTATAGCACAATCCAAAGCAGAGTTGACTTAGAAAGGTGTAATTGTTTTAGGATCACACTGTGAGACTATTGAACTACAGGAACAGGCAACCACCAAATATTGTTTTCACCTAGCAAAAATACTGTAGAAGTGAAGATCAATTTGTGCTACAGTTAAGAACAGGGCCCCTGAATGAACTCCAAAATCTCATCCTTTAGTGAGATAGCAAGGAAATAAGAGGGAAGTGATACTCACACAGCATCATCTTCACCATTTTGGCTTGTCATTTAAAGCATTTCCAATTTACAAGGCATGACAAAAACTACAGTCAAACGTCTGCAGTAAACAAGCAGCACAGGAGTAAGCCTCCAAGGTAAGGCTACACATTGAGGGAGAGAGACTCTACTTCTTAACCTTGTTCTCTCTTCCATGATGTTCGCTCAGTCACTCATGCTTTTGTGCAACTGATGTATTATCATCAAATTGTGATGTCACAATCCAGGCTTATGCAGCTGAGGCTGTAGCATTACACTGATGAGCCAACACATTACGTTCATATCACTGTTTGAACACAGACATGGTCCTCACCCTGCACTATCACAATGTTGGCATAAGGAACACCTTAGCTAGGAATCTAGGGATAAATGCAAGAAGTATCTCACCATTAACTACCAGACATGGGATATAAGCCAGCCAGTGCATATCTATGACTCAGTCTTTCAGCAGACCACCAGATGAGAAGGAATCCCAGTTCTACTATTGGGGCCTGGCAATGACAGGGGAACTGAATCTCTCTCTCCCTCCCTCCCTCTCCCCCCCCCTCTCTCTCTCCCTCTCTCCCTCCCTCTCTCTCTCTCTCTCTCTCCCTCT